TTGTATTGGTCAAACAAATTTAGTATTAATATGCAGATCACATATTTTAATAGACCATTAATAGAGAATACGCAATTTGTGGGAGCAAAAACTCTCCCTTTACGTGTGCCGTATGTGTTAAATGGAAATGTACGGCGCTATTACTTGTATATACATATATAAACGATCACGCATTTCTGAACAGTCGGCGGAGCATCCCTTTTCGATGAATAATAACCAGATAAACAGACTCGAAAGAATCATACTTAGCAGCCAGAATGATTTTTCATTCCACGATTTATGGCCTAAAAATAATGTGGTAGACGATCGTTTGAAAAAAAATGGTGAGTGTCACTATGAACCCCCTTTGTGCGCAATTCCTTTTTTCCCAGGTTTATTTTTTTTTTTTTATAACAAAATATAAGCTATACAATGAGATTGTTTTTTAAGGAACCGTGTGGACAAAAAAAAAAACTCCTCAACCCAGAATCTACAGCATTATGTCATTGCTACAAATTACAATTACACATCCAGGGTACATTGTGTCATGTAAACACAGCCACTGCGACAGCACATTTTTTCAATACTCGGTTATTAGCATCTTTTATCGCAACGTTAATCGCATGACGTGACAGGATTTTTCCAAACGGAGGACATGCTTGTAATTATTATCAACTATTATCTAGTAGATCGGAGTATCGAGTAAAAAATTGGACGTGCAAAAAAAGAAACCGGTCGCCGTGTACCAAAGGGATTCCGCGAGCCGAAGATTTTCGAAAATACTTAACGTAGAATATATTTGTATGGAGTTTTCTTCGAATACTGTTATGATAAGAATAATTATAATTATGATATTTTCATTTTTTTGCAACGTGAACGGCGACGTGCCTCCCCCGTGGGTCGTCATGGCCGACAAGGCGGCGGCGGCGGCGGAGAATACGGCACGCACATACACACACAAACGCGCCGCATCGATACAAACGACGGCGGCGGCGGCGGCCTAAAATTGATAATAACAAGACGTATTATAACAATACGTACGACGACAATGGAACGTGTAAACATTTACGATTATACACCCGCCGACTCGACGCTTAAAAACGTGTAAATTGTCAAAAAAAAAAAAAAAATGAAATGGTTTTCACCAAAACTCACCAAACTCCGTGTGGTCAAGCCGCCGTTGCTACAACTGTTGCTGTCGTCCGACATGGCAATCGGTCGGGATGGCTATGTCGTCTGCTTACATGTAAGTCGCACGGTCGCACGCAAGGCAGTCGTCACTGTACCGTGGTAATACTGAAATGTTTTTGGGCGCTTGCCGTTGGTTGTTCTCGCGCGAAATGTCGACGACGCGACGGCAATGACGACGCTCGAGGGCGACGTGACACGAAACGGCGGCGAGCAATTGCCAAGCGTCGACCGACCGAAAACGCGGCGGACATACTGATCTGTTTCTGTGTAGGTATACTGTATAGTGGTATTATTGTGTTGTACGCGGTGCCGGCTGTGGGCCGGCGGCAGTGCGGTGGCGGAGGTGGTGCCGGTGCCGGCGGCAGTGACGTGAAATGACCGCCGCGCCCTCTGTGAACCGAAGTCGGAACATTCACGGACCGGTAACCGCTTGTCCCCCAGTTGTCCCGTCCGCCGCACACCAATATAATATCCGGATTTTTTATTACTATTGTGTTCTGTTCGGCTATTGACAGCTTCGAATGGGAAATTTACCGTCAGGCGTGAAGTTTTTTTACCCAACGTAAATGATATTATTCAAACCGAAAACCAAACATACGGTATCGACGTTTCCCACATGTGTTTTTTTTTTTGTTTCTCGAAGCGGAAAATATACCTCTTACCTAGGGCTAGGTGAACTTACTTGGTCGTTAAAAATACGACACGCGTTTTTTTAGTTCACCTCTCTAGTTTTTCTTCTGGTAAACAATAAAACAAGTGTTATACTTAATATATCTGCGTGTGTTTGATATTATTATTGTCGGAAATATTTGCCTTGTGACTTGTGACTTACGACTACGATACACGGGTACACCCCCCGAATATCTAGCTTAAAACCTGACTACGCAGAATGTGTTTTACTCGGCCCATGATGGTTGGAAAGAAAACAACATTTTGGAGACAAATGACGTATTATTATATTCTATTTTTTCAAAATATTTCTTCGAATAAAAGTTACTATATCATATCTGTTTAGAAGAAGCAAAAAATATCCTTTTCATTAAGTACCAAGCTAAACAATAATAAATACGTCTTAAATAAAGGATGCGTCATTGTTATACAAATGTTATCTTTTGATTTTGTAATGGTGTTTTTGCTCTAAAACCTCCACGGTTCATGAACCGAGTAAAATATTTAAAACCGCTGTTAATCATGCTGTGATAGTCAAAAAGAAAAATAAACTACCAAAATAAAGTCTTAATTAATGAACTAGTAATTACACGGTACAGTTTAAGTTTTACAAAATTGCATATACCAAACTTGTTTGTACAAAACATTACAAATTGCAATTTTTTACGTAGAAATTATTTACTAACTAAAAATAGTTGCCACAATCGATACATTTTATGAAGATTTCAAATATGTTTTCAGAACATAAATTAAAGTAATATTATAATTTAGAAACGCACTTTAACAGACATACTATGTTCGGTTCATACAACTTGCGTCCGAGGTTATTATCAGTAGGCGAGTTTTTTGGGACGCAAGTAGTATGCAGCCATTATGTTTTTGTATAAAAATATGCCTGTATGCGCTATAAAAGTTGCAAGTGAAATTGGCAATAGTGAAAAATTGCCTATACAATGCGCCTTAATAAATGCTAGTGAAGAGGCCGCAAGTACAAAGAACTAAAATGCAGTCGTAAATAGGCTAACGACTGTAAACATAAGACCCCAAACGTCAGTACAGGAACGTGGCAAAATTATTGCTTAAAAACAATATTATTATTACATCGTTAAGAAGTGCTTTAGAAGAAATATTTGAATTAAAAGAAAATATATAATAAATATCAAGAATTGAAAACGTTATCAAAAATTTACATGTGAAACGAAACGATTTTTCGTATTGTTTCTATGCATTTTTGATAACGTTTTCATTTCCTGATCACGATTACAACGTTATACACTGTATAGACAATTTCATATAACAATTATATATATTTTCATAAGCACTTTTGTCTTTTATAACGGCAGCATAAACTCTTGAATGGTCTTACATTATCTCCTTCGCTTATTTAGGATCTTTAAGTCATCATTATTTTTTCTAGTTTATTCTTTATCATATTTCTTTCAACTCCTCGTCTTAATATTTCCTTCATTACAATTATGGCCTTTTGTAATCTTAAACACATTCTATTTTCCTGTCCTGCACAAGGACAAGTGACAGGACCTGTAACTTATTCTAATTACACAACTATTGGTTTTTTTTCTTCTAAATTAATATCAATATAATATTATTGTGGTTTTTGAGTTTTAGTTGACGCACTTTACGCAATTACGTTTTGTGATATGGATAAAATTATATTTATCCATCGCTTGGACCATTATTGACAAGAGACTAATTAGTGTTACAAGACTCATTTTAATTGGCTGCATACTTGCGATTGAATGCCGCACACGCTTATGTTATTAAATACAGCTTAGATTAGATTAATTTATAAATAAAAATTAACTATTTGTGATTTAAGAATATGTAGTAAATGTTTATTAAAATAATTAATTATAATGGCCAATAGCCAATAATAATATTACTGTTTTTCCGTGTTAAAATATCAGAATATCCTTTTTACCATTTCATTATTACTGTTAGTGTCGTTTATTATAATTTGATCAAAGTGTAGTTCATAAAGGAAAATATCTCGTTAAATTTTAATATCAAATAACTTATTTAATGATGAAATAAGTGTGATAATTTTGAATTTAATTTTAAACAAATCTGAGTAGAACGCCTAAAAATGACTTCAACAAAAGTATTTTTTTTTTTTATCTAACTTTAGTCATAACTAAGAGTAACATAAGTTATGTAATTAGAAAAAACTTAACATTCATTTAACCTTAAATTAGTTAGCATAATTAAAAATGGATCCTAGATCATTTTGTCTCAAATATTGCTTATGTTTCGGCCCTTATTAAATAGCTCTTTTCGTTTCCTTTATCATATTGTGTTGCTGTAATAATATATAATATATTATTTTTCGTATATAAGCTTCGGCTGCTATGGTCATTAGTTATTGGTTGATTTTTTTGTTTATTGAATTTTGTGGTTGGTTTTGGGTTTGGTTAGGTTGGCGTGGACACGTGTCACTTGTGGAAAAATATATTTGTTGCAAGTTGCAGCTATAATGCATAACTCCAATTAGCTGTTTTTGTATAGCTTCTAGGCATAATAAATACTAATAATATCTATAAGTAATATTGTAATAATAATAATAATTTATTTTCATTTAATAATTGTTAAGCATTTATACTATTTACTTGTCCCGTTTTCATAAGATGTGAATGATCGTCGTAATTTGTTTTTTATTATATTATTATTATTAAAAACATTGTAGGCGTATAATATAGGCAACAGAAAAACACAAAGACAATTATATTTGCAAGTTTATTTTTTGAACATTTGTAATTTGCTCTATTCAGTGATGTATGGGCAGTACAAGATAATTCTATTAATTTTCCTTATTCCCTTTTGGTAAAAAAAACAAAAGGTATACCAATTTAACTAAGTTCACCAATGATGATAAGGCGTAGTCTAAGTTGTTACACAGTTAAATTATGAGCTAACAGTTTTTTTCAGAAAATGTAGAACACAATTTTCCAATATAAATAACGGTGTATTTTTGTTTGACAACAAAATATGTTTTTTCAACGATAAGATTACAATATTAATTTGCAATACTAATATTAAACGAATTCTTATACAAACCAGTTCAACACAGAATCGACAAAGAAATGTCATTATGCTAACAACCTACGATACAAACGTTACAAATACGTCTTGGCTCTTATTGTCTCTCACTGGCCATCTTTTTCAATCATATGTCTTACGAGATCTAACACTCTACTAGCGTATCCCATTTCGTTATCGTACCACGCGCCAATTGTGACGAACTTGTCAATCACATTTATCTGATTGAAGTCTACTATAGCTGAGAACTGGCAACCGATGTAATCGGCGCTTACATTACGGCCTTCGTTGTAATAAACAACGTCACTCATGCATCCCTCTGCTTGGTCTACTATTTCTTTTTTAATTTCGTCCACGCTGGCATCTTTTTTGACGCTGTAAACAGACAATACGTCTCATTGGACGTTACCCATCACCCCATCTAGCGTTCTAACGGTGTATATCGTTATGTAAGTTGATGTTACTTGACGAAGAGCTTCAACAGGGAAACGTCCAATGTTGGCACTCTGACAGCGTCTCCTTGTATTTTGCCTAGCAGTTCCGGTATTACTATTCCTACGGCTTTAGCGGCTCCAGTCGTACTTGGAACAGCATTACCAGGACCGGACCTCTAAAACTCGTATATTGTTATGAACGTCGCTAACATCTAGTGTCTATTACTCGTGTCGACTGTTCGCTGCTTACATTTTTCAACGCGTCGAGAATGGTTTGTGAAGCTGTTAAAGCATGTACGGTAGTGAGTAAACCGCTCTTTACACAGAACTTATCGTGCAATATCTTAATCAACGGAGCCGCGCAATTAGTAGTGCAAGATGCGTTCGATACGACTTCCATAGATTTACAGTAGTTGTCGAAATTCACTCCTTTGACGAACATCGGAGCGTCTTTGCTGGGAGTAGTTATGACAACCTTCTTTGCCCCTGCGGATATATGTTTCTGCAATGATATCGGAAAATATTTATCTCTGCTACAGTAGGAATAAAATGTTTTGAGATATTGCACGCAAATCAACGAGACTATAGTACTGCAGTATTTTAATATGACCTTGGCCAACTCCACCGTGGTGAACTGTCCCGATGCCTCAAGAACGTAACTTGCAGAAGCATCTTTCCACTTGATGTCTTCCGGCTTGGTTTCGTGGAAAATATCTATAGTTTTCCCTGCAAATCATAAGTTTAATACAGTCCGTCTGAAATAATCTAGTCACAACCAATACATATCCCTGTATTAGTTTAGTTTCTATATGCCTTTTATACCATTTACAACTATACATTTATCTTGAACATCTATTTTCCCATCATATGGTCCATGTACGGTGTCATTTTGAAACGAACTCGCTATTTGTTTATTATCAAAAAAAGGCTGGTTAATGGCAACCACCTAAATTTTAATGGAAATTGGTTTTAATCGGTATTTTAAACTATAGCACCTAAATTAGATTAGTTTATGCACCGTGCCTTCTTTTAGAAGGGGCGGGATGTGTTACTTACATTGATGTCTTTTTCCATAGCCAATCGCAGCAAGCATTTTCCAATACGACCAAAACCATTAATGGCTATTGGCGCACACGTACTATGTCTTACATTTGTGATTTTAGATAGGTGAGGTGTTAACAATTTAGCTGTTTTATACATATTAATAATATACATTTTTTAACAAAAATATTTTGTTTTCGATAATTGGAAAAATGTATGTAGAAATGGTTGGTACATTTTTCGATAACAATAATTGTTACTCACAGCAACGATAGACGTTTTATCGATTTTGACGGTAATTATTAATTACATTTGAACTGGCTAAAAATAATTTGTTCAGTTACTCAAATTGTTTTAAATTATTAATATTTACTAACAGATATAATTTTTCTTAAAACACTAATAAATACAGATTATAAAAAATGTATGTACCTAGGAGTTTAATAATTGCGCGGGGTACCACTAAAACAATGTTTACTCATACCTATATAAAGTAAATTAATATTAAGCATTTTTATTTAAAACTAAAATATTAATAATTACACATTTGATAATGGGGAAATTTTTGAAAATTGAATTTTAAAAGTATAACTAATAGTAATAGATAAATTTATAATATTAATATGTTATCATGATATGGTATTTTAAACATTATTCACAGATTTAATAATAACGATTTTAGAGTAAATTGATGATAAACGTTTTTTGAAATGGATATTCTAGATTTTTTCCTAATTAAATTAGTTTTACATTGAGCAATGAAAGAAAATATGTAGCGTCTATAACTGAAATAACTCTATGATAAATACTAACAAGAAAAGAGAAGAGAACAACAATTTTGTCACAGAGAAAAATATTGTGTATATTTGTTTGTGAGCATAAATGCGCAAAACATAAAATTATGTTAAGAAAATATGTCATAGTACTAGTAAAGCTACCCATGACGGTAATAAAACAACTTACATTTTTGAAAAATTTAATGTTTGGACTTCATATATGTACACGGAGGTAATAGAGAACGAATTATTTGTTCTCAGCCGTTAACAATAAATAATAATATTCAGACACGAGTTTGATAATTAATTTCACGGGAAACAATTATTATAGTAATTATTATTGTTTTGTTATTTGGTAGCGAAGGGTGCAATCGAATGTACATAATATTGTTCGTAATTGTATATGTGTATGTTTGCGAAAAAAATGTATACATTTTATTTTTCTTTGATTTATATGCTTCCTAACTCCGAATTAAAAGTAACGACAAGGAACGACCATGTTTTATCAAAACTACACAAAACATTCAAAACAGAGCTACCATATAATTTCTTATGAATAAAAATGTAAATTCAAATTTGATTTGGTTTATTTAAAAAATTTAAAACTGAATAATATAAATACAAATCTGTAATAATTTACTGAAATTGAAATTATCATTAACATTCAAACAAAATATATAAATTACATAATATATTAATATTTCGAAAAAACTTAAATAATATTAGTGTAGTATAGAGTATATTATAATACTTATACACCATTATATTACATAAAATGTATCGCAATGACCTGTAGGGTTTAAGTACATAAATTTTTTTATGCAAATCGATCAAATCGTCGTGATACACCTTATAATATAAAGAATGGCTGGAGTATTTTCAGTTTGGGAAGCTATCGTGGCTGAACAGGCAATAACGTTACTAGTAATAGCTCTCAAAATGTTGGAGTTTAATAAACCAGTTAATCAGTATATTTGTAGAGGAGTATCTTCAAAATATGAAAACATTATGAATATAACACCACATTCAAATTTTAACCAATGTATACGTTTAAAATTAATATGTATGTGTTCCAGTTTTCAGAGATACAATGTAATATAATACTAAATGTAACAATGTGTTAATATTTTTAATGTTATTAAACATTATAATAGAAAACAGCATAAAATATCATAATATATGATTGTATAATTATTTCATCAATAGTATTAAATCAAATAATTTATAATTATTATAACGTTTTTAACATTTATAAGTTATTTATAAATTAATAAAAATTACGACGTTTAAATTGTTTACTAGTATCATTGACTTTATAATATACATAATAGCCATCATATATAGTTTAAATGACAGTGGTTAGCGTACATTCAAGCGGAAGAAATAACCTGACCAGCATACCAAAATATGCACACCTCGAATGCACGATAGCCGGGTGCCACCTTAAACCATATGACTTATCTTTATGCTATGAAATCATTGCTAGTATTGACTCCAAAACAGTTAAACACAATAATTAGAGATTGGAATTAATAATATAATAATTACTAATTGTTCGTTTATTTACATTCATTCAAAGATGAAAATTCTATGTTATTATACATAAAAAAGTTGGTTTACAAAACCAGGCAACTACCCTGTCCAGAGAAATACCTAATAATGTATTAAGCTAAAATGGTTTGTTTGGAAGCTCCTCTTACGTTTCAGGTTGCGACATTAATGAAAAACAGCTTTTAGATATAGTTGGTAGTATGTCGGGTGATGATGTTTGCGGGGAACTGCCCAGACGCACATATTGTCCGAAATTCCTTAGTATGGAATTAGAAAATGGCATGTTGTCTATTGAGAGGCATCTTCTTCTTCCTTGAAATCCTCTTCTTACCATCAGGTTTTCTTCGTCTAAGGACCTGCGACTCGCTAGTTCTGGTCCTCGATACAGATTACCATGACTAGTGTGACCTACCAACATTTCCGCTTCCCAGTTTTCCCAACGGGGTATATGTTCATTTTCATCGTCAGTACAATCCATGTCTATCCTTGTTTCATCACGAAGCCAAGCTGGTTCCGGGATAATAGATTTAGGTAAATCTAGTAGCTCAATATTTTCTTCTTCCGACCGATCCTCCCAAGATTTACTGAACTGTGGCACTTCAGAAGTAGAATTAGATTTACGACATTTCGAGTCCTCAAGATGGTATGGTGATAAGCTGTTGAATTGCGATATTGCTGGGTACATGACTGTATCCACCGAATCATTTCTCTAAACAAATACAAACATGTAATCTATGAAATATAAATAAAGCACAGTTTATCGTACTAAAAACACATTTTCTTCATCTTCATCTAGGTTGCATGTGAAATTGTCCAATAAAGCGTCTAACTTTTCTGTGTCGATTGGTTCGTCGCAAAGTTTCTATCAAAAATGATAAATAAAACAATTTTAAATGTGTACGTAAGTATAATTTGTAATCGAATGGTTACCTGGTTGAATTGTTCGCAAAGAGTCCTTATCGTGTAATCCCTTTTACTTATCTCCGTTTCAAGTTTCCCAATTTTTTCTTGGTGTTTAGATTCCAGATCATTCTTAAAAAAGACACACGTATATATTATTTTCATGGATACTAAATTGTCTTTTGAACAAATTGGCATCGAGTAACAAAACTAATTTACGTTGCAATTAAAATTATTAAACAAAATATAGTTCTACGTATGGTATCTAATGGGCTCACCAAGTATTTTTCTACAACTGCTTTGACGCCGTTCAAAATGTCATCACAGCAATTTTGTTGGGAAGACATTCGGTTTGGCAAACAATGCACAGAGTTAGTAAGCATTTGGCTAGGTAACTTAACACTCGGGATGGATTGGGGAGATTCCAATATTTCCGTTTTATCGGACGATTTTGTTGGAATAAGATCGGGATTTCTATACTGTGAAGTAAGATTACTATCAGGAAATACCAAAAAGGAACCACAAGATTCTGGCGACGATTCTAATGCACGACGTTGATTGAACGTTGCATTTCTGGTCAGCTTTGAATGTCTTGCAGCGAACCCTTCAAGCGTTTGTGAAGTCATTAGTTGTTCCGCTCTGTCGTTTCCGAGACAATCTGATGATAATCTTTTTAGTATATTTTTAAGACGTATACGCTCGGCGGTTTCGTTGGTCTCGTCTAACACACTCGAAGGGTCGGTTTTACGATTTTGTTGATTTCTCATTACTATTTCCAAGGCTACAGCTTCAGAATGACTACGGGTAAGTTGGTTACAGTGGGAAAAATGTAGGTTCTTACATCCAGCCGAGTCTAAGCTAGCACTTCTCAAAACCGTTTTTTCTTCGAGTTCCGCTAGTTTTTGCCGTTCGTTTAAGATTTTTAATTTTTTCACAAACGACAAACCCGAGTATTCAGGTGACAAATCGTTTATTGAGTGATAACGTTTTTTTGTGCCTGAGAGATTCAATACTTTTGGTCTTTGGATTAATCTAATATCACATGGTTTCTTAATATTATTTTCAGTACGTTTGGTTAAATTATTGTGAGCCGATATGTTTTGAGCAATCAATGAGCCCTGTTTGTAATGGTTATCTAATGTTTGGCACATCACTATAAATTTGTTTTCGTGGCTTATGGTTGCTACGCTAGTTGTGGGGTTGGCAACCTTTGAATCCACAGGCAGCGGCAACGAATTATCACCCATTATACCTACGTCGGGTTTGAATCCTTGCAACTTAGCCTTGGGCGTAAGTACAGTGGCTTTTTTTAAAAGAGTCCAAAGTTTTGTGTTTGACGATGATTTTCTCGGTCTAATATGCGCTTCCGATAGCCGTTGCTTAAGACTACTTGATTTAGGATTATCCTTTTTCGGAGTTTTCAGTTTTGCACCGGATTTTACTTTTGTTACATTATCAAGCAGTAAATGTTCTGGCTCATTTCGTTTAAACTTGTTTTGCAGTGTGGCTTCTTGGTCGTTTTTTTGTTTAAGAATCAATAAACGTTGCAGTAACGGCAAACCTGCTCCTATAACTTCGTGTTGTACAGATTCCTTCCGAAGTAATTCTACTGTAGATAGCGGCGGTGAAAGACACTTTTTAGATTCAGTAATTCTGACTTCTTTGTCTGATTTAGCTTTATTTAAAATCGGTATACCAGGAGATAATGGTCTGGGATCTTCATCACTATACTCATTGCCAGAAGCCATTTCGTCACTCCATACACGAGGCATCCTTCGTAAAATGCTTCTGCCACCTATGACATCAGCTTTGCGGCCACTGTTCGTTAATGGTTGTAACTCCAAGCTTTCTTCAACGACAGCTCTGGAACAGTTTAAAATGTTGATTGTTTTGAGTACACAGTGATCCTTAACGAACTGGTTTAGGGTCACTGGGACCATATAAACTTAGAAAACATTATTATTATTATATTTCAAATTAAATTCATCATTGAATGCTATAAAAATATATTTGTACCTAAATAACGTTCTTGAATTTGTAAAATACAATATAATATATACATTTTTTTTGCAAATGTTTTATATCTGTACAACTATTAAAACACACCTGGTGCCCCGACGTCCTTTAGTAAATGCGTTCCGGAGGCCTTTTACATCACTGCGTATTTTGTCTACAATTCCGCTGCAGTTTTCTGAGACTTGGAGATTAGCGCGAGATCTTATGCGATCCGCCACTAAGAAAGAAAATTAATTTACGCATTAGTTAAATCATAATAGAAAAGACTGGATGTGATAGTAATCATACAAAATATTTACCAATTTTATTGGCATTTCTCGCTTCCATCAAACGCCTCCTACCAAGTGTTTGTAGAATTTCTTGTGCTTCAGGATAGTCTTTCATAGCTGCAAGAACATCTTCACGAGATAGACTAAATAATTCCGAGTACCCGACTGAACGCACGTCTGCAGTTCTCCTACAAAACCAACCATTATAAATAATAACTAATTTTGTTTAAAGAAGAGCATTAACTCGCTAAGAAAAAAATATTTCTCATAATACATATTTTATTTATTTTTATAAATAACGACATGTTATAATTACTTATTAAATCCGTCCAAATTCAAAATACCAATTTCGCCAAAAAAATCGCCTGCTTTCATTATTGTTAAAACATGACCAGTTTCACTGCTAAAATATAATATAATAATATAAATTATTATTTACTAATATGTTGTTGAACTTTTTCAATACTGTAGAAGCAATTTACCTTATAACCTCTAAAATCCCGTCAGCTATAATAAACATTTCTCTTGCAACTTCTCCTTTGCGACAAATTAAATCACCCGGTGTAAATATGTATGCTTTCATCTTGAGCACCAGATCATGTAAGAACTCTGGTTGACATTCTTGAAATATCGTTACCTAAAAAAAAAAAAGCTCATACTATAGAGACCGTCCTGCAAGACGCAGGCGAAATTACTAATAATAATACTTTTTTTAAAACAGCCAAATTAACGTGCAGAGCTAGTTCGGTTTTAAGTTTATCAGGAAGAAGACCCAACGCCGTGTTAATGTCACCACCGCCCTGAATACGTCCCCTGCAACACACCAGAATTACTTATAAAACAAATGTTTACAGTTCGATGCCATCAATGTATGAAAGTAAATTTTAAGGGTAGAAATGAATCAATCATCTTATTTTGACGCTAACATGTATTCCCAATAGCTTTGCCGGCATGTTTTTCTAGACGTTAGCTATGGAACCACGTATACGTTATATTATCAAGTTACACGACCCTATACAGAAACCTATGTGCAAATACCCACAACAGGAGTATTGAGTTTCTAACACTTTAATTCAATTAGTTAAGTATACATACGATACACGCTATGCTCACCTGGACCACGAGTAGTCGTACCATCGCAATACCCGTTTCTTCATGCCACTTGGCACCTTGTGATGGCGCATGTACAGTTTTGCTCCATCCAGCAGTCTTTCGAACTCCAATCGGTTTGCATTTCTATTTGTTATCACATTGCCCACCTGTCCTGAAACACGAATCCCAATACGCATGTATTCAATAGTGTAATACCGTAAACCGTGCCAATATCTTGGTTTAGGCAAGTCGTTTACATACCGACAATCGTGGCGAATATGAAAACGCCGATTAAGTAACTGACAATGGTAAAAACATACCTAAACAAATTAATAAATATATTGTAACATGTATAATATATTTTCAAAGCATTTTTTTTTATAAGCCACACAAATAAGTGCCCATTAATTAAAGATATTTACTCAGCGTTTGTCTCTGGAGTGGGTAGGTCGCCAATTGTTGTTAATGTCAAGGTAGACCAGTAAAGAGAACCCAAATATTTTCTCGTTAATGTAGCATAGGCTCCCGGTTTGTACGGATAAACCCAATCGCCTTTGAACCCTTCCGCTTCAGATAATAAATAATAAAAACAGCCAAACCAGTGAGCCAGTATTAAGAGAATATGGATCAAGTTAATCACCCTCCACAGATTTGGATAAACCGTTCTTGATTCCACCATGTAGTAATAATCGTACACACGGTAAACCTGGTTAAAAAAAAAAAAGATAAATAATATATTTTTACGTTATACCGATTATAAATTATGAGTTTAAAGTGTACCATAATACTAGCAGCTTAATTTATTAATTCAATTATTAGCTTAATAACTTGTATTATTTATTTATATATTCGTATGGTTATATAAAATAAAAACCGTCAACGACATACACCATTGACTATAAAATGAATTACATATTTCATAAAACAAAGGAAACTTAACTCCGGAAAAGAACCCTCGGAAGTATTGTCATCTTCAGGCAATATAATGGTTATTTTATGTTAGCGGGCCCTTTAGAAATTCATAGCATTCCACTAAAACCGTTCAAGTTTTAAAGTCATCACTGATAATTGCCATTCCATTTAATATAGCACAATTTTAGTGTTAAGAAAAGTTTATCACGATGTTAAAAATGTCTTATTATTACATGGTTAATAAATAATTATAAATTAACATTATTTTTTAGCGTTGAAAAAAAAAGTGACAATTTCTAAATATAAACACAAATTAAATAAATAGATATTTTTCAAACTGTAGCAAGTACAGTTAATAAAAGTTATTTATTACTTCATACATAACCAACCAGATGGGTACATTCGAATTTTAAACATTCACAAGATTTTTCCAAAGATCAATGATCGTCATTTACCTCGGCGAGCATACAAATACAACGACAAGGATTTAAAAAAAGGAAACCGTGTTATTTATATAGGACATAAGGCCTACTGAATCAAGCGAACGTGCCTTATCAGTCAAAAGGAATAAGGATCAACTATCATCGATTTTCCCCACCTACGCTGAATTTGCCAAAAAAAATGAAAACTCTTCCGCGTACTAAATAACCACTATTAATATCATCTTAACGTAACCAAAGAGCGATGTCAGCCATGTTAAATTTGTCGGTCTACATTTGATATCCATCATGTCATGTCAAACTAGGGTAGGTCTCCACTGCGTTCGTGGTTGGTGATTTATTATTATTATTATATTTCGGCCGGAAATGATATGGAATTAACTTTTCTAAAATGTTTTCCCGGCTTAGATTTTCAAATGCAGAAAAATGTACTTGTATATTGCCCAAATAGCTTTATAATATTATGTAAATGTTTATTATTCCGTGTGCATTACATATGTGTTCACAAATATTATACTAATTTTTTCTCTGCTATAATTTATCAACAAAACTTTCAAGTATGATATTATATTAAACGTGAAAAAGAAACGATGTATTCAAAAACGTACTTGCAAATTAGATGTTTTTTTTAAAGTCAACTATTTATAGTAATTTTTGTTTAACTAGGTACGCTAGTGATTCAATAATTATGAAAGTTTCCTCTAAGTTCGTCTAGGGACCATTTGAAGATTATGTTGCTTGAACCCAACATTAAAAAGCATTTAGACCGCCTTAGACCGTTTAGGATATCGTTTGAAATATTTATAATTATTATTTTGATGTTGGGATATTCTATTTATTTTTTCTAAAAATTACACAAAAAAATTAAATTATCATATAAATATGCACGTTAATTATTATTCAAACTTATTTAAAAATAGGTTGAAAAAATTAAGTACAGCTTGAAAAACATTAGTATTAAAACATTTTTTTACTATTTTAACTACCTATATGGTGATACTTCGCACACCAAGACACTATACATACAAAAGCTAATTATTAATTGTGTATATGTCCAAGTAAAAGTAACGAGTTTGGGTTTCATGAGAGTCAATAAAGTCTAAACGTGACAATATTGCTAAATAAAACAACTTGATGGTTTTCAAGATTACAGAAAATATTGACTCAGTTAACTCTTTAGAAAATAATCTCAATTTGAAGGCCTCAACTGTTTGTATTCTATTATTATAGCTGATTATTTGTATTATTATTTTTTGTTTTGTGTAATAAGTGAAAATGAAAAAAAAGTGCTAATGAAAAATATCTTTCGTAAACCAAGTTTTAATCTTTCTGTAATAAAAGTTAGGCCACACGGTTATAACTAGACAATAAACAGAACCTACCAAACGAATTTCAGATCCATTAGATATTAACTTAAAAGTACTATATGTTCAATGTTTTAGTGCGCATGACATCATTTTATCTTAATTACTCGACAGACCCAGACGGTCGGTTCGTTAGCTGTACTTGAATATTAACTTTTTTATTGGCGCAATACCGTTTACCCTTTTTAGCGGTGTTGTAGACTCACGCTATTTGATTAAGTACTTGTTTAATTACAGTAATATGTGGTAAGCATACCTTGATAAATCTAGGAAACCTGAGTATGGGATGCACGCCGATCTTGAGCTGAATTAGATCAAGAGGCGTGAGGGCGATCAGATCAAACAGGAACGATCTGGATCTTATGTAGTGGCCGGCTAGTTTACTGGTGTTGTATACCATCAGACCCTGTTCCAGGTAGCCGGTTCGAAACTGAACGGCAACGTCCAATAGAAACACCACGTCACTAAATGCGTCCATGGCGAACCACCAGCCAGATGCCATCCTTTGCAGCTCGGGCAGACTCTGTCTGACGATAGCGGTCCACAGGTTGTACAGAGTGCACCCAGTCAACACCATTAACCAGTTGAAGTAGAAGTTTTCATCCGGGTTGACCACCGACCAAGGTAACTTGTTCTGTTTGCGGCGCAACCGCCGTTTCCTGCGCACATACTCGATATTGTCTTGCGAACCGGAACTGCACTCGCCGTCATCTCCGGTGTCTATCGTTTCCTATAAATTAATTATAACACACGCCGTATTATTGTCAGTTTAATATTAAACGTTCAAGATAATTTCCAGAACGGATTCAGTATGTTAATATTGACGCGAATTCGACAAGGCGTTGTGTTATAAATTGATTACACCATACGTGTGTACACTTCATGTATTAATCTAAAACTTAAACTTGAATGTCGTACACTCACGACATCTAAAATATAGTAACTCCAATTTCGAATGATTCATTATAACATAATAAATAATAATATGGTTTTTTTTTTTAGAAGTTGTATTCCATCGAATAATATGATCAATGCGCATTTTATACGCCTCGTGTCAGAGTTTTCCCTTTTGTAAGTTTCCGACGCAGTATTGAAATAATCATCAGTGGTGGTTTTTCAGTTATTGTGTCTCGACAAAATATACATTGCAATTATTTTACCAACGTCCCCAATAAAATGTCACCAAGAACGACTAACGTAATCCCCATGTAGGAGCTTATAATTTCGCCATATTCAGCGTTACGGCATGTTACAATAATATGTATCGCAACACAAATCCTCTGCACAATAATTTATTTCAAAGCTGCGTCATGAGTTCACGCTGCTATCCGGGTAAGAAACAAAAATGTAATACCTATTATGAAAATAAAAAATAAGAATATTCGCTGCGCCGCGCTAGTATGTACACATTTCATATATTATGTAAAATTGAATAGCTATTTAGTATTTGTTAAAAGGGAACTATCCATATCATTTTTTTTGAATAAGTATAATATATTAATATTTTTTTAGCATAAAATATGCTTTTTCGATGACCATTTTGCCGAAAAGCGTCACGAAATTCAAAATGTAAATTAGTGTTAGGTTTGTTTTAGACTCGTTTAGGTTAGATTTGGATTAGATAGGTAATGTTAGGTTAGGGTCAGGTTGGATTATGTTAGTTTTAGAGTAGATAAATTAGGTTGAGGTTAGTTTTGGATTAGATTGGTTCTAACTACATATTGAACTATCGACAATTATCAATATCGATGAAATTGATAAATCCTATCGATAGCTCTTAAGACATTATTGATAAAAAAAGACGGCGGATCAAATAGATTTCAAAAATTACATCTGCTATTTTAATTACAACAACAGAGTATCACTACCAACGATAATTTGATTTTCAGCAAGTTTGCTTGCTTTTCAGCTAACTGTCCACACAATACGCATGTGTACGTAAGAATGATAGGTAGACATAAGCAAAATCATTTTATATTTTTTACATACTCCACTCAATTGCGAGTATGATAAGAAAACGGGGGAGGGGGAGCAAGGGAGCACCAGCCCTCTTTGAGAGACCCAGAAGACAGACTTTAGTTCAAGAGTCATTGTTAAATTTTCTAAGCATTATATTTATTACTTAGTATTTATGTACACGCGTATACTCGTCAAACTTGTCAACATCTTCAGAATTAAAAATACATAGCATAATACAAGCTGTTCACTCTGCAGATTGTCAAAATTGGCTTTAAAGCATTCTTGGGACAACACAAATAAGTCCTGAAATATCTCAACATGTTCTGTTGTGGGGTTCTATAGTGATGGACACAGTGTATTATCCGAATATATTAAAATACAGTATATTATGCACTGGGCCGTCTACGATTCAGCAGAAAAGAAAAAAAGTATATTATACAATGTAAAATTCGAGTATATTAAATCTTGCACTTCTATAAAAATCCAAATGTCAATAATTCTTGTTAATTTAAAACAGTCCGTACAAAGCTATAAATCTGATCATCGTCAAGTGAACGTTATTTACTAGGTAATTCAATTATAAACGTTATTGTATTTGTAGTTTTTTTTTGTGTATGAGGTGATAAATGGTTTTATCCTGATACGACCTAGCAAAATACAACAACGACGTCGAAAAGACAACGTCTGTGCCAATTGATCCCTACTCTATACCTTTGATACTTAGTCTAACTCATTTTGGCACATGCACGCGGATTAATTTAAAGCATTAACGACTTAAACCCAGATAATAGGATATTTCCTACCGGTAAAGACTTATTATTTCAGTAACATATTATACGATGGTTTTAGTACCTATTGCACTACCACACAAGTGTTTATCACACAGTCGTTACTTGCAGTGTTTCAAATGATAATATAGTTCCTTCGAGTTTGTTTTGTAGAGTCAAATTTCAAATTTGTAATTAACATGGCACGCGTATAATATGCATGCAAAACACATAATCGTTGTGATACGAACTTGATTAAATTTACCACGTTTAACTTGAAACTGGTAGTTGTTACAAAAAAGAGAGCAAAAAACGTTGTTTGACCTCGAGAGCATAACGTTTAGAATAAACTTACTTACTTGATTTCAGGATACAAGAAAACAATGACATAGTAAAGAAATTCCACGGTTCTACAGATAATATGTTGTTTATACTTGAGTAATAGATTTTTGTTTTTAAAGAAACCCGGCAAATTATAATTTTATTAGTTTCAAGCAATTAACTTCACATCTCGACGATATGCAATTAAATATTGTTAACGATCACAGCGAAGGGTATTTCTTTGCAAAGTCGTTTGTGTTTATTGAAGGGCTGCTTTATGTTAAAACTTATTGTAATTAATTTTTAATTCCTAACTTCTTGTCATATTTTTTAAATGGCGATTCACGGTAAAAACATTTTCCAAACACCTAAAAGTTGTAATCCTAATGCCGAGTTGCACAATTTGAGTATTATATTTTCTTCTAGTAACCGGGGTTCAAACAAATGGTCTACACGAACGGTTTATGCAACCAATAATGTTTTGTGCATCCCAGCGTATTATGATTGTTATTCGAGTAACGCAATACTTATATAATATCTATAAAGTTCCCGTTTAAAAAATATTAAAGTATGTATAGGTATTATAAAGTTGATCGATACTAATATCCGACGTTTAAACGTTAACGTTTACATTATACTCGGCTTACACAATTTATACTGATCACATTTCGCGAGCCCAGATAACTAAAGACTTCTTAGATTAGCTTTCCCCCAAAAAAATATGTTTTCATTATATTCCATTTTTTGTTTTTGTCCCGTGCTACCGTTTACGTATTACATTATATATTTTATTTTTTATTCTTGGTCGGTTTTTTAGTTGATGAGTTAATCGTTTATGACTTTCGGCTTTGTTACCAACAAAATCTTTTATTGTATAGTTCGGCGGACTTTTTCTACTTCGATGGCTTCTTTTATTGTTCTTTGTTTGTTATTTTTACGAGGTTCGGCGGAAACTACGAAAATGTTTATTGCGGTATCCCTTATTAATACATTTCACTAGAACTGATTTTTTTCTTTTGTACAATATTTCCTAATAGTTTTTAGTCTTATACATTACAATAGAAACAGTATAGTCCAGGATAATAAGGATATAGTAATAAGGAAAGTAAAAAGAATTATTAGCAATAAGTTCGTTAGCTTATACGTTTCCAGTTAATCAAAACCTACACAATATATTTATATCTTAATCATTTCAATAATAAAAAAATGTTATATCGACTCTGTATAATTTGTTTCTGAAATAAGAACAATATCGCACCACGGATATCCAATTTCAGCCCGACCTTGACATAGTTATATACTTGTGTGGACCTCAGGACAATGACCAAAGTCGGGCGAAACAAGTAGTATAAGTACTATTATATAACTATACAAACAAACAAATGTGTACTAAAATAAAAAAGGTTCGACTAGTTTGACAAACAGAACGCAGTTTTACTGAAGTCTGAACAAGCACAGTTTTCGAAAGTACTATAGAAAAAAAAAAAATTAGTAAAAAACTTTTCGTCGCATCATCTAATGTCTTAAGTGTCTTACTTTTAAGTCGGATTGGAACGAATCATCGTTTTGTTTAAATTCGTTATTGAATACAATTACCTAAATGTATTTGTTATATATTTTATATGTTTGCGAGTTTCGCAGACAACCAGAAATGTCGTCCTGTATTCAACACTTTTTGATATGTCAGTATCAGATTTCATCAAAAACATAAGTTTTTTGATTTGCATTAGTCGGTATATCCTTGCCGAGTCGGTCTGCTACGCGTAAGTATACAGTTGAAAAACAATAAATTAATATTTTATTCGTGATTTATAACGCGAAAATCCGATTTTGTGACAGAAATCCAATAAGTACATTAAACCGGCGCATAAACAGTTCTTCGAGCTCAATAACGTTGAGACGGCATGTCCGGCGCACACTTTTCCAGATCCGAACAAGACTTATGTTTACTTCATACGTGTGTTATTCTAGACGAATGTGTTTTCTTTTCTCCTGGCACTAGGCCTGCGGGTAAATGGAAAATTACAATTTTAACGCTCCGCGAAGCTCAAAGAAGGATAATATAGGTATTACCACCGTACTGGCATTCGTAAAAAGTAAATTCGACTAGTCATCACAGCCCTTGGGTATTATGTTATGTTTGCGTACGCTCAATTGATGGTTTGGAGAAATATAAAAAAAACAATGCCAATGAAAAATATATTTTACTAACCTGCAAGTAGGTTGCAAAATACATTTTTACAACTTTATCACACTTTGTTAACAGTTACTATATAAGTCCAGTACTCGAGATAGATACAAATCAAATCGTACATTTGATAACAATAATAATATTGATGAACCCTTAATTGAAGAGAGATGTTTAATAAACCGGCTGTGTATAGGACATGCTAAATTTGAACGAGCCTGAAATATGGAAAAACATATTATAATTCACTGTCGCAGCTATACCGACCTAAGAACCCAACTTCAAATTCCAGTCAATATAACTAAAGTCTTAACGTCCAAAGAAAATGTGAAAAACTTGCTTACATACTTTAAAAAAAATGAATATATACAACTTGAACTATATAATAACAATTATTTATTGTAAAAACCACTTTCATTTTATCATCTACAACGTCATTATCTAAGTAATTATTATATAGGTAAATATGCTATAAGCTAACAACTATTGTTGTGT